ATCCATCTATCTGTCCAGAGTGTAATTTTAATAATAACCATCTCTCCGTTGAAGTTGTTGTTTTCGACCTTTTTTTATCGCGTAAATATACAATTAGAAAGATCAATCAAATGCCAAACGTTCCGTTTGGATAAGTTCAAGTTAATAAAGATAATGAAAATAATAGGTGGCAGGATGCGAGGATCGAGATAGAGGCGAAGGGAAAAAAAAAGTAATAATGGAGAGGAGCAGGAGGAGGAGGAGGAGGAGGAGGGGTCCGATCATGGAGAATTCTTCCTTGAACACAGTGATTTCTCTTTGGATTGTTTCAAAGGCGAATTAAGGGTGAGAGGAAGGGTGATGTCGATGATATTGTATGTATATGCGAATTAATCGCACGACACGTAAAGATTTTTATATAGTTGCTCGCGTGAGATTCTGTTGAGTTCTTTGATCTCTCCTTGAATTTCTATATTAATATGTTATTATACAGGTGTAATGTAATTACGTAATATTAATATTTGCGATTAATTTTAGAGATAAGTAATTATCTTTTTTTTTTTTTAAATACCTTTACAATTAACTCAAGTAACATATAGATATATGTAAATTTGAAAATATTTTATTATCGCATTAAATTAATAATCATTTGAAATTTCTTTCAACTTTCAAAATACGATAATACGTGGATTTCTCATTTGCGGTTTCGAAAAGTAGTCTACTTGCATGGTTTACGTAATACTGGAGAGAGAATCTTTTTTTTTCTTTTTTTTTTTTTTTTTTATTCTACTCAATTACACGCGTCAAACATTTATCTTGGTTTTCGAGAAGAATTTATTTACCATCGTGATGAAAGTTTTTCGCATCCTTTTATAAAGATTCCTTTCAATATTTTTTTATTTAAATGTCTAAAAATTTAAAAACTTGAGAAATATTTGAGAAAGAAAGGAATCGATTCGAAAATTTACATTCCAATATTTTTTTCTCATTTACAATATTTTCTTATTTCGAATCTTTGACATTTTCGAATCCTCGATACTTAAATTATTCTCATCCTCTATTTTCTTCCGAATGATGAATTTTCGGATCGAATCGGATAATTTAAAGGAAACCGAAGAGTGAAACTGTTTCGAGATTGCCTCTATTATCTCGCAACTCACGTAAACCGCTTGTGTATTCCAACAAATCTAAAATCACGATACGTGCCACGATACTTGTTACTTATACGTCGTATTTGTTGCGTGCAAAACAAGTATCCATGAGTTTCTAACGCATTTTTCGGCCATTGAATTCCCAAAGATTATTTGCAACAATTATATAACGTATTGCAAATATATAACTTTCTAACCAAGTTGGTATGGCAAGATATACTCCTCCATCACGTTAACGAAATATTTGTCTATTTATCTATCTATTTATCCTTGTTTCGAATATATCGATAAAATGAAACAGAGATAAAACAGAGATAACGATTTCATGGAATAAAAAGAAAAAAATGTATATAAATATAAATAATTTCTAGATTAAATATTAATAAGAATAGAATTTGTAAACTCTTTCAAGCAAGCTTGTAAAGAGGGTATATCAACAATTCGATCGAATTCTCGAAAACACGAAACAGCATCGGTCGTGTATTTTCGGCGAATTTTAATGATCTGTTAGTTTATCCTCGCAGACGAATGCCGTGGAACAGATTGGCATCGTATATTTCCATAGACACGCCCCCAAAGGAATAAAGAAAGTGACGAAGAAAGAAATATTTGTGGCGATTTCTTTTATATACAACAAATAACTCGATTATTCCATTATTCTTCCATTATTCTTATTCGCGAATAAAATGATATTTTATTTTATTTTCTCTTTTTATCCATGTTATTCAATATATACATATAATTTTTTTTCCAAATTCAATCGAATAGATACCACTTGTTTGGTGACTCCTAATCTTTCTGCTAATTCTTCTTGCGTCTGGATCGGATTTTCATCGAACAATTCGTCTAATTCATAGTCATCAAACTTTCTTGATACACTTGAACGTCTTCCAAATTAAAATTTCCAAAGGTTTTAAATCTTTGGTACGACTTTTTGCATGTTCTATAAGATATAGCGTTCTCTCCCAGTCACGCACAAATCACTTCAATAGTTTCAACAGCTGATTTCCTAAGCTGGAATGCAAAAAGTAAACAGTGACACGAATGATATTTCTCGCACGCCATATTGCTTGAAATTGTTGCATAGGAAACTCTTAGAGCGCTCATCACGGCTCTTCTTAAAAACAAAAGAACGGTTTTTCAGATGGCACCACGAACGGGAAGTAATTCGAATTCGGTCAGAAGTTATGATCGTAGAAAAAAAGAGGAAAAAACTTATTTGCACATCTAATATATACTCGAGAGAAGAATATTATTCCTATTTTTGCGTAGGAAGTAGAGAGGCGGAAGAAGGTGTCATCAGGAATAATTTTTTTTTTTTTACCCGTTGATGACCATTTAAGAATCTTAAGTCAGAATTACCGGCGGTGGCTCGCTTTATCGATATAGAAATCGTAGAACAAAGCTATGCGATGTCATCGCAAACCCGGAAGACACTTTACTTTTCCACTCGTCTCTCGTTTAATGAGAAATATCTAAATGGACACGAAAGAGCGTATTACTTTCATTCCCTATCCCGTCTCATCTCGGCCATCGTTCTGTTTTTCTTACGTTAAAAACTTCGGATAACTTTCTCTAATATCTTTCTCTTCTCTCTTCGAATCGCTTGAAATTTTGGTTTTTTGATCCAATAACCAATGATCCAAATATATTTATACATGTAATAGAGCGAAAGAGTTACGAGATGATTTTTTTTTAAATTTTTAAAAGACAAAAAACAACGAAGAAAAATACGATGTATCGTATCGTTACTGCGCGTGCAACGACTTATTGTGCATGATCGATCTATCGATTGCACAAGCTGCCAGCAGAATCGCCCGCAGAAAATGGAACCCAAATCGTTTTAATTCCGTTACCAGCTACAACTAACAGACGAGGAACCGGAAAGAATTAATTATTCTTAATCATTTTTTATTCTTTTTTTTCCAAATAGAATAGATTCTGAATCATCTCTTGTCAATTCGTAATGCAAATCCGTATCCTACGCAAGTCATAGGATTCAGATTCAAATAGTGAATGAAACTAGCTCATTTTTAATTTTGTAAGTATATATTTTTAATGTTATTTAATCCCATATTTAAAAAAACTGTAATTTTGTTTCATTCCTTTCATTTTTATTCGAGTATTTATATTTAACTTTTTTTTTTCAATTTTATTTCAAGTTATATTTATTCGTTTTATTTTTCTATATATTTGTATATTTTTTTATACATCGATTACTATGCACTCTCTTATTTATTCTGTTATTTCCTACTTGTCCATTGTGCGTTTGGAGGTAACGAAGGATTGCATTTGAATTCTGCAGGTTCATTGCTCTAACCTAATTTGCATCGAGTAACAAACGGCGTCCTTGTGTGAATACCAACGCCAACTTAATCTTCCCTTTCCTCGCACGATCATTGCCACATAAACACGGGGAAGGAAAGCGTATACACCCTACTCAGCGATGTAACAATGATAAGTCCTCAAGATATTCCTTCCTCGAAACGATAAATGGTACAATGCCATTTGCACGAAGAAACGAAGAAAAAGAGAGCTTGATAAATTTTTTTAACCATCTCTTCTTAAAAAAAAAAAAAAAAAAAGAGTACTCGCAATTTTATTTTGATATTGAATCATTACGCAGCCGTTAAAAATAAATTTAAATTAAATTTCCCTTTCTTGCTTTCGTTCCCTTCTTTCTTTCTTCTATTTTTTTTTTTTTTAAAACGAGGCTAATTTTTAAAAGCAAAAAAAAAAAAAAAGGGGGCGTGAAAATTTTTTTTAACCCTCTCTTCTTAAAAAAAAAAAAAAAAAAAGAGTACTCGCAATTTTATTTTGATATTGAATCATTACGTAGCCGTTAAAAATAAATTTAAATTAAATTTCACTTTCTTACTTTCGTTCCCTTCTTTCTTTCTTCTATTTTTTTTTTTTTTTTAATACGATGCTAATTTATTAAAGATCTACGATAATAATAATAACAGGTTCGTAATATTATTATGCGCTGATATAATCGTAATGAGGAGATTAATCAATCCTTTTTTTATTATATAAATTCGACGTATCGAAATGTTACTCCATATATTTCCCAATTTAAAACAAGGAAAAGTAATGATTCGTATATACTTACGATCGTAACGAGCAATTTTACAAGACGCGAACTTTTTTATAAGGTGATATGGATAGATACGAAAAAACGCGTTTCGCTCGCTTCTTTCTTTCTTTCCTCTATTTTTCTTTTCTTTTCTTTTTTAATACTCTCGCTACCATGTTAATTTAAAGGCCTATAATAATAATAATAATATTAATATTATACGCTGGTATAATCGTAACGAAGGGATTATCCTTCTTCTATTATATAAATTCGACGTATCGAGTAATATTGCTCCATATATTTCCTAATTGAAAACAAGGAAAAGTAATGATTCGTATATACTTACGAGCAATTTTATAAAGTGACGGATGGATACAAAAAAAGTTTCGTTTTCTTCTTTCTTTCTTTCCTCTATTTTTCTTTTCTTTTTTAATATTCTCGCTACACCATGTTAATTTAAAGGCCTATAATAATAATAATAATGTTAATATTATACGCTGGTATAATCGTAACGAGGGAATTATCCTTCTTCTATTATATAAATTCGACGTATCGAGTAATGTTGCTCCACATATTTCCTAATTGAAAACAAGGAAAAGTAATGATTCGTATATACTTATAATTTTATAAGGTGACACGGATAGATACGAAAAAACGTGTTTACGTTTTATCGCTAGACCAATTACTTTTAACGAGCGTGTCGAGCGTTCGAAAAATCTCTCCTCTTTAACGCTTATACTCATAGCCGTTTCATCGATTTGTACAATTTGCAACAAATTGTGCGCCTCGAATATATATTACGAATTCCGTAGAAAAAGAAAGAAACACGATCAAACGCTTTTGATCTCGAGTGATAAATTTTCGCGAACGCTCGAGTCTTTAACGAAGATTGGGCGGGTTTTATTTTTATTTTTTTAGGACGGCAATAAAAAAAAGTGAAATTCGCTTTATGGTAATTCATCTTTGCGTTTAACTTTCAATAGTGCATAACCGATGGAAAACAATTGGAAAGTAATGATATGACATCCTTCCTTTTTTCTTCTTTTCTTTTCTATTTATCGCGTTATTACGCGTTTCACGTAACGTAATAACGTTATGTCAATTCGGCCGAGGTATTAGAACACCTAAAGCAGAAATTCTTATTATTCTCTTTTTACAATTATACGCTTAATATCTAAGAGAGAGAGAGAAAAAAAATAGAAGATATTTTCTCCTCGTTTCGTTTCGGGACGAACTATCCGCGGTTCGCTCGAAGGATAATTTCGTTCGTGCTCCTCGATTCGTACCTCCTCCCCCTCCTCCTCCTCCGTCATCAATCGTGTTACGCTCGGTGAAAGTAACCAACCGCCATTATCCTTTGGAATATAAAAGAGCGGAGAAGACGAACAGCTGCAACCCTAAATTGAAAGAAAGTCAAAGTGACCCGATCATGAGGCGTAATGACGACTTTCAGCATTCTTTCAAACAGCTCTCAGTCTCGACTTCGTTTTCACTTCGTTTACCTCGAATTCCAGAGAGAGACAGAAAGAGAGAGAAATAATATTCGCACCATTTCTATGTCCATCGATTCGCGATCGATAAAACAGATTTGAAAACGAAAAGATTCGACGATATTAAATATAACGAGACTTAATACAAAATGATCGAAAAAGAGAAGGGGAGAATAGTATAGAATCGGGTTTTAATTAATTAAGAAAAATTATATCTGTTACGATTACAATCACACAATTGTGCGTCCAATGTTGCGGGAAAGCGATCTTTTGATTAAAAGTGTATCAAGAATGAATGGAGAGTTTCGTGCAACTCGCTCGAAACTTTCACTCACAAAAATAATGAAAATAGCCGAGCGACAGAGGCGGAGAGACGAGGAAATATATCTCTCACGGTAGCGAAGACGGGTGGCAAGGGTCAATGGTAGATTCACCGAGACCGAGAAACCGTTTCCCGTTTTCACTCTCGCCGTCAAGATCGATCGGCTGCACGTGATCGCGTTCTCTGCTTCCTTCGCAGGATAATTTTTTGGCCGTGACCCGGTATCGAAGAACACCTCTCCCCCTCCTGGAAAAAAAAAACCTCTTGCTAGTAGTAGGTTTAAGGTCAAGGCGATTCACTTTCATCTTCCTTTTTCGAAATAATATTCGACGAAAATTTGTCCTTTTTTTTATATATAACCTTTTATTTTTATATATATATATATATATATATATCATTCTTTCACCTTTCTCCAAGTAAAAAATAATCCTACGCTAATTTAATTTTTCTTGGAACATTTTTAAAAATCGCGAATGGATTCTTAATAATAATGAACAGCTTTGAAAGCAATATGATCGCTGTTTATAACAATCCTCTCTGTTAATTACGAGGGAAGCAATTATCCATCGATAGGAGGCGCAAGGAAGTAGTGTATTGTCGCGATGTTTTATGCATTCGAGGGGTCATGGAACGCGTCACTTCCGCGTCGTTCTAATGGCATCGCGGAAACGATAGTGGATAGTGAAAGGTATCAAATCGATAGGATGGAATCGAAAGAAAGCGACTGTTTTTTTTCATAGGAGAGATGAAAATCTTGTAGCTTCTTCTTCCTCTGCATCCTTCAAGTTGAAACGGAAGCGTAAGTTCCGTTGCACTTGTTTCGACCGTTGTAACGGTCTCTTCCTTATTTAACAGCGTGAGATAAGAAAGGATAAAAGATGTAAGAGGGGGGGGGGGGAAAAGGGGAAAACTTGGGCCCATAATTTGGGGCGGGGTCTTTTAATAAAAAAAAAAAAAAAAGGGGGTTTTGGGGGGGGCCCGGTTTTTTGGGAAAAAAAGGGGGAAAAAAAAAAAAAAGAAGGGAGTTTATGGGGGGGGCCGGGTTTTTGGAAGAAGAAGGGGGGGAAAAAAAAAAAAAAGAAGGGAGTTTATGGGGGGGGCCGGGTTTTTGGAAGAAGAAGGGGGGGAAAAAAAAAAAAAAGAAAGGAGTTTATGGCGGTGACCGGTTTCTTGGAAGAAGAAGAGGAAGAAAGAAAAAAAATTCGAAGAAGCGGTTGCGAAAGAAGCGGCCAAAGAGAAAGAAGAAAAAGAAGTATCGATTAGTGGGTCAGGGAACGTTCGTAAAATTAAACGATTGCTTTCATCGAATAGTTTCGTACGTCGATCTCCGGGATCCGTTCCATTAATCACTTTAGGAACGCTTAACAGAGAACTGTTCGTCAGGGACAACAGTTTTTCGTAAATTATAATAAATAATCGTTCGATCAAATAATCGGACGGAATTAATTTAGATCTTCTCTAGGAGATATAAATTATAATATTTACATAAATGGAAATATGGAATAAACGAGGAGTCGAGTCTAAAAATATCTAAAAAGAGAAGAAAAAATAAAAAAGGAGAGCGAATCAAGATCGAAAATAAAATTGGAAAGCGAGGAAGGTCAAAGATCTGTTAGTACACACACTCTACATTCTTTCTCTATGATACCACTGCCCATTCTCTCCTCTCTTCTTTCGTTCGAGGTGCAATTTCACCGCGATTATCGAGCCTCGTTTCCGTGCTACGCAACCCGTGGAGCTTTCCCGATCTTTCTGGGGGTCATTAATATTTTATACGGAGCACGACCGATTACTAAGAGAATTCCTGCCAACTCTCACATTCGATCTAATCTTTCAACGGTCGATTGCGTAATCCTCGTGATTCGTGATCCCTATTCTCGATTCGATGACAAAATAACGCTGTCGTCAAAAATTTCCTTAAAAAAAAAAAATCGATATTAATATATTAACAAATCAATATTTTACACGACCGAGTATTGTTTCGTTCCTGCCAATTTTCACGTTCGATCTAATCTTTCAACGATCGATTGCGCAATCCTCGTGATTCGTGATCCCTATTCTAAGAATGTCATCAAAAATTTCCTTAAAAAAAAAAAATTGATATTAATATATTAACAAATCAATATTTTACACGACCGATTATTGTTTCGTTCCTGCCAATTCTCACGTTCGATCTAATCTTTCAACGATCGATTGCGTAATCCTCGTGATTCGTGATCCCTATTCTAACGATGTCATCAAAAATTTCCTTAAAAAAAAAAAAAATTGGTATTAATATATTAACAAATAAATATTTTACACGACCGATTATTGTTTCGTTCCTGCCAATTCTCACGTTCGATCTAATCTTTCAACGATCGATTGCGCAATCCTCGTGATTCGTGATCCCTATTCTAAGAATGCCATCAAAAATTTCCTTAAAAAAAAAAAAAATTGGTATTAATATATTAACAAATAAATATTTTACACGACCGATTATTGTTTCGTTCCTGCCAATTCTCACGTTCGATCTAATCTTTCAACGATCGATTGCGCAATCTTCGCGATTCCTCCTTATTCTCGATTCGATAACAAAATAACGATGTTATCCAGACTTTTCCCTTTATAAAAGAAAAAGAAATCTTGATAAAAATAGTAGATTAATAAATTAATATTTCATACGGAGCGATAATTAATAAATCTTAATAATAATAATAAATTAATATTTTATACGAAGCACGATTATTTCGTTTTTGGCCCCTGAATTGGATAACAAAATAACGATATTATCCAAATTTTTTCCTTCATAGAAAAAAAATTAATCTTAATAAAAATAATAAATCAATAAATTAATATTTTATATGGATCGATTCCGAATTAGATAGCAGAATAACTCATCCAAATATTTTCCTTTACAAAAAGATTAATCTCAATAAAAATGATAAAAATATAATACAAATGAGGTAATAAAAATTGGAACGGGAAAACAGGATCGAACGAAGGAATTTTTATCTTTTAGATCGAGTGGATAATTGACTATATATAATAAAGTGAATTAGCGTCGAGTTCGATCAATTACGCAATTGTATATATATATATACATATATTGCATAATTCGGTCCATTCAGGTTACAGGCAAGATAAACGCTTTGCGGATCGTGGATAATCGATCGGAGATTATCGATGAAAGTTATGACATTGGATGAAAATGGAACGAGTGGGAGTCGTTTTATAACGCTTCCACCGCTTTCCCGGGATTACGAATCAAAGATATATTCAAACGGTACATATACACGAGGAACACGATTGCATAAAACGTTTTAACCGTTCTACCTAGTGAAAGTAAACAAATGCAGTGTACGTACGTACGTACGCACGCACGTATGCACGTTCCTCTTTCCTGTTTGCGATTGAATACCAGCATTCGGGGTTTTATCACGGCAGTTGAGTTGTAAAACGCGTACAGCGTTAATTAATCCTAACGTAACATTTAGCCTCTTCCCTTCGCTGTATCGCTTCCTCGCACACGTACCACGATCCTCCGCAAAGAAAGAAGATTTCACGTGTCCTTTTCTGCAAAAAAAAAAAAACAAATAATAGTAATATTACAAGATAGGTCAAAGTTTACGCCATTTCTTCGAAATTTCTCACTCTCTCGTTTCTCTTCCAAGTGTACATTCAACATTTTTTTCTCGCCCTCGCGTCACTTCCTTAATTTACATTTCGACTCGTCGAGTCGAGTTCCGAATTTTTACCAAACCGCTTCTACTTCGAATTCCTTTTCTTTTTCTTTCTTCTTTTTCTTCTTTACAAAATAAAATTTATCGTTTCAAATCGAAGATCACATCTTTAACGACGATTAATAATTCCTATTTCGAATCGTAACACTTTCCATTATTACCAACGTCTCCTCTAACGATAGCGGTCGACAGCTTCGCTCTACGATGGTGTTCCACTGCGCATGCGAAAAAGAGGAAGAAGAAGAAGAGAAGGAAGAGGAAGAAGGAAAGAAGGAAAACAGAAAAAAAAGCTGACTCCGCGCGATGGGCCGCCAAATGCCCCTTTTACCTTCGTGGACGGGCGATCATAACGGCCGTTACGATCTCTCCCCCCTCTCCGCAGGTAAGTTCAAGATGTGAGCCATCGTATAGCCGTCGAGAACGTAACTAACAACGTGTATACCCCTCCTCGAAATGTGTTTCTCTCTCTGTGCTCTAGGGGCGACTAGCCGCCTAGGCGGAGGGAACGTTCGCTATAAAAGGAACGGTAGACACGAGAAATTTGTCAGAGGAGTGACGAACCGTAACATTATTGTAAAAATAAAAGGTTGAAAAAGAATACATATATACACACATATATATACATACATACAAAGGCGGCAGCCTTTGCCGTTTCTCTTCTTTTTCTTCTTCTTTTTTTTCGCGCGGTGAACGACACCCCTTCAACTTGAGAAGATGCGGTCCAGCCTGGTCAGTGTCCATTTTTCTTCTTCTTTTTTTTTTTCTCCCCCTTTTACATCTTATGGGGTAATCGTACGTGACTACGTGTAAATCGAATACGAGTGAAGTATCTGTGAAGAAAAAAAAAAAAAATAAAAAAGCAACGAGAAAATCTGTGATCTTCTTTTCATCGTTAACGAACTCGTGAGGGAGGAGGAAGTGATCGAAGGAGTTATTGGAATCTCTCCTTCTCTCCGTGAACCGTCTTTTGGCGCCTCGTGTAACAGGATAAAACTATATATATATATATATATACATATAATATATATATGAATGTTGTTGTTGTTGTGGTTAAAAAAAAAAAAGAAAAAAGAAGTGAAAGTACTTAAAATATAACGTTTCGTAATAACACGGTTATCAAATTATATATTTATAAATTTGAAGTTTTAAAATTAGAAAAATTAGGGAGGATGGAAAATAAAAATTGGATACAGGTTTTGAGATGGAGCCACATGCAATATAGATTAATCGTGTTAATTTTCTCAGAGATCTCATTACGTGGAAGAAACGTAATCGTGTAAATGCACGGATCGATTTTCAAAGTGTTTTCTTTTTTTTTGATATCGTGTGTGTGCGCGCCGCGTATTGAATTAACCCCCTCCATCGCGTAACCTAGCTCGAGGCTCGTTCGAGTCACTGAATTCAGAGCTGTTTCTCTAGGAGATATTCAGAATGGAAAGTCGAACAGTGCGTACTCGTGCCTCGAATGATCATCTCTCGTGAAACTGGGGACCGAGACTCGTGGAAACTCGTTCACTTTCCTCCCAGTTTCCCTAATTGACGGAACGGAAACGCAACTTTTTTTCTCCCGTGGAAAAAATTACGACACGAAACGAATATTTCCCGGGAATCTTCAAATATTAATCCGCCTGAAATATTTGTAAATATTTACCGTGGCTTCTTCGTACTTGCCCACCCATTCATTCCGCGTATGAATAACGGTATGAACGTAGCGCAGACCTCGAGGACATGTCACACTTTTTCCTTTCTATCGTTTAACTTAATGCCATGTTTCTTAACTTTCTATTATAATTCCTAATATTTTCGTGAATTTGGATCGTTCGATCGGAAATTGGAAGGTTCGATGTAACGAACTTTCTTAAATATGAAATTGTGAAAACAATTGTTAAATCCATCGGTATCACTCGTGAAAAAAATTTCAAATTTCTTAAATTAAAATTTCTTTCGAAAGAAAAAATCGGTCGATAGCAAATTTGTTCTTGTTTCTTCATCGTACGAGATTATTTTTCGTGATCCAACTTTTCGAAATTTTTTCCATTTTTCCAACCATGGAGGATCGATTAATAGATTATTCTTTTTAAAACGACGGTGGTGATCGACAGATAACAGGTAACGCGCAGTGCAGTGGCAAACCGGTTCTCCGAAATGAGAATGGGTCGGCTCGGAAATAAGAGGCGAAAAATGAGAGAATTTATTTATTGGGGTTGGAAGACGAAATTGGGAAGAAGCCCACTTTCCCCTCCGTTCTTCCGACTAATGAACGGTCACGAGTTTCACGATCGACCTCCAGTTTCTACGTTGATGATGGAATTGGAGAGGAGGGGGGGAAAAAAACTAGAGAGACAAAGAGAGAGAGAGAGAAAAAGGGGGGCCACCGTTGACCCCATTCCCAGTCCTGTTTACACTCAGTTCGTTAGTTCGCACGCGGACACTTTCATTTTTTTGAGAGACATGCTCATAAAATAAGATATATTATCATTATTATTATTATTATTATTATTCGTGACTTTTTTTTTAAAATAGAACAAGTTACTCGTCTTGGTTGCAAATCGATCTTCTTGTCGCCATTCCTTTTCTCTCTCTCTCTCTTATCGATTTTCGATAGATCGATCTTGGAAAGCTAACCCGATTTTAATTTCATAATTAATTGATTTTTAACAAACAAATTTTTTCAAGAAAAAGATTAAATGTGTCGTAAAATAATCGAGAAGATATATTATTATTATTGTTATTCTGTGTTTTTTTTTTTTAACGTTTCCAGAACAAGTTATTGGTTAAATCGATCTTCTTGTCGTCATTTTTCTCTCTTTCTCTTTCATAGATTTTATAGGTAAATCGATCTTGAAAAGATTTCACACGGAATTTTCAATCAATTTTAGGTTTTTTTAAATTCTTGTGAAAAAATTGTGCGAAAAGAAATCTTTTTCAAGAAAAAGATTCGTTGCTTTAAAATAATATTCGATTCCACGTTTGACCTCTATTTTCTTTTTTTCTTCGAATAAATTCGAATAAATTCGAATAATGATTATACACGAACTATATATATAAACTAATTATAAATTCGAATTGGGAAAATACGATTTTTTAAAAAGCAAGAATCATCTCGTGCGAATCGTAGATGGAAATAAGCCTCGTGTATTAAAGAGAAATTGGATCAAGAAACGTATCTCATTGAATCTATCAAGATCAACGCTTGAAATCTTCCGTATAAATTTTTATAATTCACAATGATCTCTTAAGGTGTGCTTAAATTTCCTCTTCAAATTCTTCTTTTTCTTTCAAGAGAAATTGTTAAATTGGAAAATAATAGGGAATAAGGTTAACAAAGGTTATTCGAATTCTCGCACGGTCGAGATGCAAGTGGGGATAAACCGCGAAGGTCGAGCGGGATATAGATTGAAATCAGCCAGTAATTATAAGTATAATGCTCGTGTACGAGGTGTAACTATTTCAGTTACAATACAAGAGATTGAATCGATAGATCCGGAGGTATTACAGGTAATTACACAGTAGCTACCTGGAATCAACTGAACGTCTAACAATCCCATGATCGCCTCATTTGCATTTCTGCTCGATACATCGTATTGTCTCTTCTTCCGCCAGAGAACTATCCATCTTCGTATAAATTCGTAGAAAATTTTCCTTCGATCCGGAGGAATTAATATTTCTAATCTTCCGTATGAATTTTTATAATTAATCATGATCTCTTAAGGTGTGCTTAAATTTCTCTAATCGTCGAAATAATTTTATTACAGTTATTCCTGTGTTCCCTCCTTCTCGTATCCGCTTTTGGAGACCCGATAAGGATAAAAAAAGAGTGAGTAAAAACCGCTAAAAATAAAAATCTGCGATTTTCAATTCTTTTGATCTATAATAATAATAATACACAAACGAATACGAATTTCAGAGCGCCGTTGAACCCACCCCCGAGTCAATACGCTCCGCCAGCAACCTCTTACGGAGTTCCCATAGGATCCACTTACAACGTACCCTCTGATTCCTACGGTGCTCCACCACCACCACAACCCCCGTCCTCCTCCTACGGCGCCCCATCCCCCTCCTACGGCGCTCCATCGGCCCCTTCCTCCTCTCACGGCGCTCCATCGGCCCCATCCTCTTCCTACGGCGCCCCATCCCCCTCCTACGGCGCTCCATCGGCCTCATCCTCCTCTCACGGCGCTCCATCGGCCCCATCCTCTTCCTACGGCGCCCCATCCCCCTCCTACGGCGCTCCATCGGCCTCATCCTCCTCTCACGGCGCTCCATCGGCCCCATCCTCTTCCTACGGCGCCCCATCCCCCTCCTACGGCGCTCCATCGGCCTCATCCTCCTCTCACGGCGCTCCATCGGCCCCATCCTCTTCCTACGGCGCCCCATCCCCCTCCTACGGCGCTCCATCGGCCTCATCCTCCTCTCACGGCGCTCCATCGGCCCCATCCTCTTCCTACGGCGCCCCATCCCCCTCCTACGGCGCTCCATCGGCCTCATCCTCCTCTCACGGCGCTCCATCGGCCCCATCCTCTTCCTACGGCGCCCCATCCCCCTCCTACGGCGCTCCATCGGCCTCATCCTCCTCTCACGGCGCTCCATCGGCCCCATCCTCTTCCTACGGCGCCCCATCCCCCTCCTACGGCGCTCCATCGGCCTCATCCTCCTCTCACGGCGCTCCATCGGCCCCATCCTCTTCCTACGGCGCCCCATCCCCCTCCTACGGCGCTCCATCGGCCTCATCCTCCTCTCACGGCGCTCCATCGGCCCCATCCTCCTCCTACGGCGCCCCATCCCCCACCTACGGCGCCCCATCGGGCCACGGTTCCTTGGGAAGCGATCAAGGGTACGGTAGTGGCGGAGGATCGTTCGGCGGAGGCGGAAGCGGGCACGGGGGAGGTGGAGGATTGTCGAGCTCGTACGGGCCACCAGCCCAATCCTACGGCCCCCCTTCTGCTCAACCGCCCCAGGGTAGGTGGGAGAAGAAACTGACGTGGAAAGCGGAATGGAAACGGATCTGGAAAACGGAGCAGAAGCTGGCTTGGAAGCAGGAATGGAAGAAGGTGCAGGTGCCCGTGTGGAAGGAGGTTCAGGTGCCCGCTTGGAAGGAGGTGAAGGTGCCTGTTTGGAAGAAGGTTCAGAAGCCGGTGTGGAAGGAGGTTCAGGTGCCTGTGTGGAAGGAGGTGCAGGTCCCCGCGTGGAAGAAGGTTTGGAAACCGGTGTGGAAGGAGGTGCAGGTTCCCGCGTGGAAAGAGGTCCAGGTGCCCGATTGGAAGAAAATCTGGGTCCCGGAATGGGTGAAGATAGGCATACCTGGTGAACAGTACGTGGGCAAGGATCAGCACGGATGGCAGTACACGAGCCACGATCTTTGGAAGAAGAAACTGATCTGGAAACCTGTGTGGAAGAAGGTATGGAGGACGGAGAAGAAGCAGGTGTGGGTGAGCGAGAAGAAGCTGGAGTGGAAGGCCGAGTGGAAGCAGGTGTGGAAGACGGAGAAGAAGCAAGCGTGGGTGGCCGATAAGAAGCTCGTGTGGAAGGAGGAGTCGGTACAGGTTTGGGTGCCGGAAAAGAAACAGATTTGGGTGACGCAGAAGAAGCAGGTGTGGAAGGACGAGTGGAAGAGCAAGTGGGTGCCTGTTTGGAAGGACGTGCAGGTACCGGTGTGGAAGAAGGTATGGAAGCCCGTTTGGGAGAAAGTTTGGGTACAAGTCGAAACTCACCGCGATGAGCATCACGGCTACAAGTAATTTATCCCCCCTCTCTTTCTTTCTTTCTCTCTCTCTCCTTCGTTCCAGTATCTTTCTCTACGGCAATAAACGAACGATAAAATTTCGTTCGAATTTTTTGCTAGCGTGACGTCATAGCCTGGAGAGGGAGAGGGGGATCGAAGGTCTTTGTCGAGGCTCGTCACATCGGTCTGCGTTCGTCTTTCCTCTCTCGCGTCTGGAGGGAAGAATTGGGATAGCACCGCGATGCGATTGTGGTGGAACGTAGAGAAATAGAAACGGGTCCTCTTTCTTGCGAAAGGAATGGAGCTTGGAAGACGAAGAAAGAGAAGACGAGGAATGTTTTTCTATTTCTTTTTTTTTTTTTTTTTAGACGAATTTCGAAGATTCATTGTCCGCGAGATTGTTTCGATTAAATCGAATGATATTTTCTCGTTTTTCTTCTTTTTTTTTTTTTTTATGAGAAGAAGTAAGAAGTTTTTATCGTACGATTTTATTGTTCGATCTTTAGAGTTTAAGAACTCGTGCTGGTCGTCCATGTCGCCGGACAAGCCATACATGATACATCGAGCGTAATCATTCTTATTTACTTGTAAATAACGATTCTCTTCGTATAGAGAAATATATATATATATATATATAGATATGGATATTTTTGTACGATGTTGTGTATGTTATCGTAATAAAGTACAGTTTTTCTTTTTTTAAATTTTCGAGTTTTGTTTCTCGACTTCAAACACACGAGCAAGAATCGATCGAGAAGAATCTGTTTTTTTTTTTTCAAATAATTTATATTCGTAAAAGAGAGTATAATATTTAATATTTATATTACATCGTGAAAGAGATAAAAAGTAAGTAAACATATAACAAATGTAAAAAAATATGGAAAAATTTTTATCAATATTTATTAATGAAACAATCAGTTCAAATCGAGATAAATTTATTTCCATAATATTCAGAGAACAGAGAAAATTGGATATTTCTTTGACTATTAAAGAGATCTCAATAATTTCTCGTTAATTTCAATGATAGTCAAAAATCAACCGATATTCTTAATCGAATTCTTGCGAAGTCTTGTTTCCACATTTGACGGAATGTCGAGTTTTTCAATCCTCCCTCTTTAAAATATTTTCAAGAGGCTTTTCTTCCTCTAGACGAACCTTCTCGGCCATCTTCTTTTCCGAATCCATCATAAAAAGCATAATATCCCATATATCCTCTTCTAAACTGCCATGAATATAGCGTTGCTGCGAATCTCCTTTCTGCTAATTATATCTTATCGCGTCTCTTTATAATGGCGTAAAAAAGAATGCCTCGTGCACGCGATAAATTTTGTTACAGGTCAAAACAATTAGCCACGCGCGGTCAAATAAACGTTATAATTATGAATAATGATTGATGATGCTGAAATTTCAGTAACATTGATATCTATAATCTAAACATTTTTATTCTTTCAAATAAATTTTTAAAAAAAAAATTTAACACCAGAATCGGTATCTGCTTTATTATATGTAAATCTCGTACATTTAACTCGAAAAACATTAAATTGTAATTCGATCGTGCAATGTGTGATTTTTAATCTTCGTTTTCGTAAATATAATTAAACTTTGTCGTGTGCGCAATATACGAGGATGATAAATAATTTTGGAATTTTTTTTTAGAGCGGGGAAGGGAAGATTTCATAAACTCTTAGAGAAAATATTTAGAGAAAATACAAACATCATTGGAACACGAGAGATTTTTTTTTTCTATCTATGATAAATGATTTTTGATAATCTTTTTTTATCATTAATCGTCGTTTTAGTCGATTTTATATCAATTTAATTAATAATTATTAACTATCTTTTTTATTAATTAATTAATTTTTCTACCAAAATAAGATTATTCGATTATTTGATTTTATATTTAATTATCAGTTATATTGATAATAACATGTTTACAATATTCAATTTCGTATCAATGTAATTAACTTTCTTAATTTTTTCATCCAGATAGAACTTTGAAATTCATTTGAAATTCCTAAAAGAAAAAAATTTATTAAAAAATTTTTCTTCCTTTACAACATTTGTGAAATTATTTCAATTTATCGATTGATTTTTTATATCGATCAATTTTTATTCAATGATGTAATATAATCTTCGATAATGTCTTATCCAATCTTTAACAATCTTCTATATTTTTCGAAATTAACTTTTGCACTCGAGTGCAAAAAATATTTTTTTCTTTTTCTCGAATTCAATATCAATTTCAATTTCGGGGAAAAGAAAATTTTCAGATCGAAAGTAAAAATTCCAATCGATTCATCTTCTATATTTTTCGAAATTAACTTTTGCACTCGAGTGTAAAAAAATATTTTTTCTTTTTCTCAATTTCGAATTCAATATCGATTTCAATTTCGGGAAAAAGAAAATTTTCAGAGCGAAAGTAAAAAGTCCAATCGATTCATCTTCTAGAGTTTTCGAAATTAACTTTTGCATTCGAACGCAAAAAAATATTTTTTCTTTTTCTCAATTTCGAGTTCAATATCGATTTCAATTTCGGGAAAAAGAAAATTTTCAGAGCGAAAGTAAAAAGTCCAATCGATTCATCTTCTATATTTTTCGAAATTAACTTTTGCAAAAAAATATTTTTTCTTTTTCTCAATTTCGAATTCAATATCAATTTTAATTTCAGGGAAAAGAAAATTTTCAGAGAGAAAGTAAAAATTCCAATCGATTCATCTATATTTTTCGAAATTCGAATTTTGCAAAAAAATATTTTTTTCTTTTTCTCGAATTCAATATCAATTTCAATTTCGAAAAGAAAATTTTCAGAGAGAAAGTAAAAATTCCAATCGATTCATCTTCTATATTTTTCGAAATTAACTTTTGCATTCGAACGCAAAAAAATATTTTTTCTTTTTCTCAATTTCGAATTCAATATCGATTTCAATTTCAGGGAAAAGAAAATTTTCAGGTCGAAAGTAAAAATTCCAATCGATTCATCTATATTTTTCGAAATTCGAATTTTGCAAAAAAATAT